CAAATTAGCAGAAGAAATTATAAGTTCAACTTCCGATCACAATCTGCATTTGCAACAAATTTCATGTTTTTCTATTGAAATTAAGATTTGTAAGTCAACATCATTTGATTATTTCTTATGAAATTATCGTAGCAATTGCTTTGCATCCATTGCTTCCAAACAAGAGATTAGACTCACGATTCCAGATTTATGGAACGATTATGCTTTGAATATGCTTCTTTAAATTCTGTCAGAAGCATCTTAATATAAATCTGAACTTTACTTGACTCGTTGATTCGTCTTCAAATCTGAATTTTAATTTTTGATGCACATCAATTCGTTAAGTTAACCAACAAGACGTGGATCATTCTCAAATGCATTTAATAAGAAAAGACAAAAAAATTGAAGAAGATGAAGACTCGCATCGTGTTGAACTGTTTACTCAGTCATAATTTTTCATTTCATGTGACTCGTGCAAATTATAACTTTTGCTTGCTTAATGATTTAACATGACACATGTAGCGCGATCGTTTTTTTTTTTGAAAAAAGAATTAATTCTTTTATGAAGAACTATAAAATGTTATTCATGTTTTATTGCTTTGACTGCTCTTCTTTATTTTCTTTTGAATGATGCTTCAAAAATAACATTAGAATAAACATCTAATAAGGTCTCTGACAGTAAACTTTGCTACTGTGAATCATCTAATAAAAAAGTGAAGATTTGATTTATTATGAACTATAATAATCTAAATATTTAATTCTAATTATGAAATCAACGATTAATAGTATTAATAGAACATTTTCTTAAAAAATTTGGAAGAATGTCTCATTATTACTGGTTGAGCTTACTTAATCGATCATCGATGGTCTCTCATGTCAGCTGTTTCGCTTGCCTGTGTAGAGAGCTTTCCATAAAAGAGAGTTTCGTTAAATTTATAAGTTTCGAAGAGAATTTATGCTATGAGATTTTACTTCTTTTGCATGCTATTGTACAAATATGTTCAAGTTGCTTCAGTACAAATTTGAAAATGAAGAAAGACAAACAAGATTTCTCGTCTTTTTATAAAATGTTAAGAAATAAAATTGAGCAAGTTATTGTTCTGCACACAAAATAAAAATGATCTGAAATAAATTAATCTACTTATTTTAGGAATATTTCAAGTTTATTTTCGTATTAATCACCAACTTCTTCATTTCTCTTTACCTTTAGAGATAAAGACAAGACCTTTAATTAGTTAAATTGAAATCGTGCAAAGAATTAAGATAAATTTATCACTAGCCAAGTGCAATTTATAAAGTTCAATTGTAGGATTAATTTTTCATTAAAATTATTTTTAATTCTTTTAAATGTGAGACAAGTACATTAAAATTGTTAAACCGTTGTTTTTATTTTGACCCATAAAACAGAAAATCGAAATGAAATGAGTTCAAGAAGATGATCACGAGCGCACATGCATATATGAAAGGGAAATGACAAAAGTTGCAGCATGCGATTTAATTCTGTCTGTTAAAATTACTTCAGCTTGATTGGCTATGGTGATGATTGCGAAACAATTTCTGTTACTCATCCAGTTCATCAATGAACTTACAATAGCTTTCTGATAGATAATGTTAAGACAGATTCAATTTCGAGCTTGAAATATTGAAAGATGAATAATGATGTACAAATGAGATGATCTCTCCGACACGACACGTGAAAATTTGATTTTTGAGAAGGTGAAACATGAAACGAGAATCCAAAGTTGATATTTCTGTGCCAATTTTTCCACTTCGTAAATAAATAGATTTGCTCCGAAATTAATGAATATTAAAGTCGTGAAATTGTCGCAACCTTGACAATGAAAACTGAACAACTTCAAACATTTAATGTTTAATTGATTGTGATCATCATTATGAGTAATTATGACAGCTAAAAATCATTTACATAAAAATTCTGCGGTTGCTTTCAAATGACATTATAATGTTTAAATATTAATCAGAAAGATAAATGTACAAAATAAGTATCCGGTTAGAAGCATCTTTTGATTTATGAGACTTTTGGTTTTATTATGTGTTACACAATTAATTGTTTTGCTTACTCAAAGATGGAAATATATTTGCAAAAATCGTGATATGTTCTTCGAGCTTGAATTCCCCCTGAAAATGGTTTTTGAATCATTTAAAATAAATCAAAGAAATAAAAAA